ATTCTAGCTGGAATTCTCTCAGTTTTACAGGTGGTCCTCAACTTATGACCACAATTGAGCCCCAAAGAGTGAGATATTTGTTCAAAGTGAGTTCTGTCCTCTTTTATGACCTTCCTTGCCACAGGGTGTTGAGCAAACCACTGCAGTCGTTAAGTAAGTCACTGCAGTTGTTAAGTGAATCTGGATTCCCCATTGACATGGCTTGTCAGATCACATGACCACTGCAACCATCATAAGATACACGCCAAGTTGTCAAGCGTCCAAACTTTGATCACATGACCATGGAGATTGCCATGCCCCTGTTGGAATCTGATTCGGAGGGGGAGATCGAACAGCTGACAGGGAGTGGGAGTGTGGCTATGGTGGCTGTGGAGGAAACTGGGGAAGGGCACAGTCTGGCTGGGCATTCAGATGAAGTCCCCGGGCCAGCCCCTCTTCATCCTAGGGCACGTAGGGAGGAATGGATAAGGGAGCAACATGGATTACGGGGGAGAAAAAGGCCCTGATTCCCTTAATTAGCTGCAGCTGGGGAAACAGGACATAAAGTGTGTTTACGCACAGCACCTTGCTGGAAACAAAGCGTGCATTATTTTTGTCACGTCTTATCTGGGTTCTGGCGTCCTCCCAACTGTGTGTGTTTCGTTATGTTTTGAGTTCTGCAATTCTTATCCTGCCCTGTCTCATTGATTGCTGCAGCCAGTGGTTTGTGTTGGTTTTTATTTATAATCTGGATGTACTTTGGGGTCGGACTGAATTTCTTCCCTTTAAAAACTGTTCTTGGGAGAGTTTTTTTTTTTTTTACAGCGGATGATAACTGGACATTGGGGGCCAAGTTGGAGGTAATTAAAGGGACTTGACCTACTTTTGTGACTTTGTTGCTTTTGTGCCACGTCCCTTAGGGTCATCACAGAGATGCTGCCATGGTTGTAAGTGTTTCACTGGTGTCGTATCTTCAAACAGTCATTAAACAAACTGTTGTAAGTCAGGGATCCTCTCATTTGTTTTACTGTGAATTTATGATGACCGTCAATGATATCGCATCAATCCCACCATTGAAAGGTTTCGCCGTCTTGCCACAAAAGGGACACTGTACGACGTTAAACCCAAAAATGGGTTCTTGAAACTTCTCACCGCTTGGGAGGGAATGGAGCCAAGAACATAACAAAAGGCTAATTTGTTCACTTATAAATGAATCGTTTGTAAATGGTTTGTACAAATCAACTTATCAATTAAAGCAGAACAACTAAGTTTTGTAATAGCTTTGTGCCATATACAGATTAGATTATAGATATATAGATATAGATACCGTGTTTCCCCGAAAATAAGACCCTGTCTTTTGTTTTTAAAGGCACCAGGTCTTATTTTCAGGGGACGTCATCCACTGACCAATCTCACTTGCACGCGTCAGAGCCCGGCCTCCTTTTAGCTGTCAGAGGCCTTCAGGAACTTCTTCTCCTGCAGCCGGCAAGGCTTTCCTGAAGGCCTCTGCAGCCAATAACAAGAGCTCTGGATCGATCCTGACCTTTGTTCTCAGCTCCAGAGGCCTTCAGGAAAGCCTTGCCAGCTGCAGAAGAAATGGGCTGGCAAGGCAGGTGTCCGGGTGTGCCAGGCCTGGCTATAACTGTCCAGAGTTAAGGAGTAGGGCAGCTCCACCCCCCCTCCATCCCACCCTAGCTTAATTTTTACCTATCCACTCTGGAGTGGGTGGGATCTTAATTAGGGCTTATTTTGTGGGGTAGGGCTTATATTTTCGAGGACACAGGGTATATAGATATAGAGATGATAGATAGATAGATAGATAGATAGATAGATAGATAGATAGACAGATAGATAGATAGATAGACAGACAGATAGATAGATAGATAGATGATACGTAGATGATAGACAGATGATAGACGATAGATAGATAATAGATAGATAGATGATAGATAGATAGATGATAGATAGATAGATAGATAGATAGATAGATAGATAGATAGATAGATAGATAAATGATAGATGATACATAGATGATAGACAGATGATAGATGATAGATAATGGATAGATGATAGATAGATAGATGATACATAGATGATACATAGATGATAGACAGATGATAGACGATAGATAGATAATATAAATAGATAGATAGATGATAGATAGATAAATGAATGTTATTCAGGTTTGTTCGGGTATTTTCCTATGTCATTATAGTTGTCCTTTATATATATATATATATATATATTCTTAAGTTTTCGCAGGTACTTACATGTATGGTATTCAGCTTTGTTCGGGTATTTTCCCACGTCATTGTAGTTGTGCTTTTAAAGTTGTAGCAACGTTTTGGCAGAATCTCATCTGCCATCATCAGGCTTCTGTATTGTGTTTGTCTGACGAACACAATATATATTTATATATATTGCAAATGTATATGTGTGTTCATGTATGTGCATGCTTAGTTATTTCTTTTCTTTTGAGAGCGGGCATCAGAATTTCATTTTGTTATGTGTGCCAGTGTGTTTGCAGAGAAAAGTGACAATAAATGTGATTTTATGTTCTCTTATCCCTCTCCATGGCCATCCTACCACCATCCCTCGCTCCTCCATTCCTAGGTTCAGGGTTTAAATCTTAACAAAGCTCCGAGTTTTTAAGCGAAGGACTCCAAACATCAACCCGCTAATTTCTCTTTGCGTTCCCTTGTAGTTAAGAGAGGTGAAAAGGAGAAGGGTAGAAAAGAAAAGAAAGGGTTTTTTTCCCCCTCCGTTTCGGCCCCTTGTTTTTTTCCACACTGCCATCCAGGGCGTCTCCAGAGCCAGTAAAAAGATCCTTTTTCATAACCAGAAAATTTTAAGAGGGGGCAGAATGATGGGAAGATACGTAGGCTGCCAGAAGTGGGGTGGGACAAGAAAACCATGAGAAACGCAGGGAAATGAACAGCTGCTGGAAGTGTGCTGGCAAAGAAGGATGAATGGGAGATGCAACCCTGCAACTTGCAGCTTTGAATTTTGGAGGGAGAGATTTTCTCCCTTTCCCTAAACCACATTGTGAACACCACAAATGTTTCAGGTAAAAAGGAGGAGGCTGTCCTTGCCAAAACATCGCCTTTTTCAAACGGTGAGAACGTTTCATTTTTCGTTGACGGATAGTCCAAAAACTCCATGAAGAGGTCAATAAAGATGCTGGTGAGGTGAACGGCCCTTCAAAACTCTGCACGTGCCAAGGCATCATTAAAATTAAATTAAACAGAAGTTGCTGGTTTGTTAACCTCTGGAATATGACTCTGGAGCCTTCCCCACAAGGTGGCAGAGTGAAGAGAAAAAGAAAGTTTTCTCAACTCCCAAAACCCGTGAGATGAACAGTGCATTACATTTAGAAGATGCCCGAATGGCCAAGGTGCCACTCCTGTCTTCCACCTTGCACAAATTCCTTCACTGCCACTCCAGAAAACTCACTTCAACAATCCTCACCTGTGCCGTGTTTGGACACAAAGGTGACCCAAAGTTTATCCGCCAGGCTTTTAAAATTGTAAAGGGTTGTCCAACTTCTTTCCTTCTCTCTAACTTGTGATCAATGTCATCAAAAAAAGCACAACAAAGAATGTTCTTTCTGTGCCAACTCAGAAAGCTCAAACTGCCCAAAAGGAGCTGCTGATCCAGTTCTACAGAGGAGGAACGGTGGAGTCTGTCCTCTGCACCTCTATAACTGTCTGGTTTGGTTCTGCAACCCAACAAGACAGACACAGACTTCAGAGGATAATTAGGACTGCAGAAAAAACGATGGCTACCAACCTGCCTTCAATTGAGGACCTGTATACGGCACGAGTCAAAAAGAGGGCTGTGAAAATATCTACAGACCCCTGACATCCCGGACATAAACTGTTTCAACTCCTTCCCTCAAAACGACGCTATAGAGAACTGCACACCAGAATAACTAGACACAAGGACATTTTTTTCCCCAAAGCCATCACTCTGCTAAACAAATAATTCCCTCTACACTGTTCAACTATTTACAAAGTCTGCACTACTATTACTATTAACCTTCTCATCACTCCTTATCACCCCTCCACTCCCACTTGTGACTGTAGGACTGTAACTTTGTCGCCTGTATCCTTACGATTTATATTGACTGTTTCCTAGTATGATTTGATCGCTTATTGTACCCTATCACTATATTCTATTTACTATATACCCTATGACTATATAAGCCTATGACTATCATTAAGTGTTGTACCTTATGATTCTTGACTCTTGATGAATGTATCTTTTCTTTTATGTACACCGAGAGCATTTGCACCAAGACAAATTCCTTGTATCCAATCACACTTGGCCAATAAAGAATTCTATTCTATTTTGTCCAACTATTTACATTACTGCATTAATATTACTATTAATCTTCTCATCACTCCTTATCACCCATCCCCTCCCACTTGTAACTGTATGACGGTAACTTTGTCACTTGTATCCTTATGATTTATATTGACTGTTTCCTAGCATGATTTGATTGCTTTTTGTACCCTATGACTATATTCTATTTACTATATACCCTATGACTATATAAGCCTATGACTATCATTAAGTGTTGTATCTTATGATTCTTGACTCTTGATGAATGTATTTTTTCTTTTATGTGCACTGAGAGTATTTGCACCAGGACAAATTCCTTGTGTGTCCAATTACACTTGGCCAATAAAGAATTCTATTCTATTCTATCTGGCTGCGACCCCTCTATTTTATTTTATTTTATGTTATTTTTTAAAATAAATTCTCAGTAATTTTGTTTTGCAGAGAGAAACATCTCTCTAATGCAATGTGTGTGTGGGTGTGTGTGGACAAGGGAAATATGTTTTTTTCTCATCCAGGACATGGCGAGGAAAAAAAACCCAACCACCTGGTTCTCTACAATTTTTAAGAGGCGGTTTTGCATCTGGGGCAATTCCAGTTTTTAAATTCTTGGCACCCTCCTGGCATGCATGTTCCCACAGCCTCCCTTCCAACCCCCAAGGCAGATGTTTTTCGCTGACCTGGACGCGGGCCTCGGTCAGCTTGGTCCGCTGGGCCAGCTCTTCTCGAGTGTAAATGTCTGGGTAGTGGGTCCTTTCAAAGGCCTTTTCCAACTCTTCCAGCTGTTCGGCTGTGAAAGTGGTCCTACTCCGGCGTTGTTTGCGCTTCAAGGGAAGATCCGGTTCTGATTCGACATCGGAGCCGTCGTCCAATCTACCGCCTGGGGGGGGGGGGGGGAGAAAAATAAGGGAATAAAGGGGTTAAACATGGGAGACGCAAGGAAGAGATTGGCCTGCCATCTATCAGAAATGGTGTAGGGTCTCCTGCTTGGGCAAGGGGTTGGATTAAATGACCTACAAGGGTCCCTTCCAACTCTGATTATCTGTTACCATCTGTTAACAGGACCGCGTAGCTATTCAGGGACAATGGAAAAACAGGTTCAAATTGAGAGGGGGGGGGTTAGAAATCATTTCAATTTCAGAGGATGCTCTTTGATCAACTCACCAAGCCAGGAAAAGGCACAGAAATGCAAAAGATAAAGCAATTAAAAAATAGCCACACACACACACACACACACACACAGTGAATTAAAACAATAAAGCAATAAAGAAAAAATCGATGCGAATAGATAATATGTATCGTCAAAAATAAGAATTTCCACCCACAATTTTGTTTCTTTACACGGAGTCCTCGATTTATGACCGTAATGGACGGTTGCACATCATGACGGCTGTTAAGTGGAGCATCTCACTTAACAACCAATCCCTGATCTTCCCAAAGCAATTAAAACGAACGTGCAGGTTATTAAAAGTGAGGATGAGAGAGGCTTTCGGAGGAGTCTTCAGGCAAGGTCGGCCTGTCTTGGCCCCTCCCCAAGTTCTCCCCACCACCACTCCTGAGGCACTTGGGGCTCCTTCTATGCCCCTTGGGGTCCCCCTCCAGGCTTTGGCCTTTTCCCAAGCTGGCCATTCGGCCACCCAAGGCCTAAACCTAACCGTTTCCCAACCTTGGCAACTTTTTAAGACCTGTGGACTTCAACTCCCAGAATTCCCCAGCCAGCCATTTTGTAAAGTCCACAAGGCTTATAAATCAGGGGTCTCCGACCTTGGCAACTTGAAGACTTGTGGACTTCAACTCCCAGAATTCTTAAAAGTTGCCATCATTGGAGACCCCTGTTACAAATGGCCAAGGTTGGACCCCCTTGGCTTAAAGCAAAATGGCTGGCCAGCTGGTCCACAAGGCTTACAAATCAGGGGTCTCCGACCTTGACAGCTTTTAACACTTGTGGACTTCAACTCCCAGAATTCCTCCTCCAGTCATGTTAGCTCAGGAATTCTGGGAGTTGAAGTCCACGAGTCTTATAAACTTGGCCAGGTTTGAAGACCCTTGGCCTAAAGCAAAATAAATAAATAAATTACAGTCTGTGTAGGCCTCGGCCTACTTTCCTCCCAGCTGCTCCCTTCCCTTCCCAAGCCTAGGCCTAGCCCCAAGGCAGCCATTTAGCCAGACAAGTTTGCCTAGAGAAACTACCAGGCCTTGTGGGGGAGTGGGCTGTTACAGCCTGTGGGCCTTGGCCTACCTCTCCCCCCCACCCCTAGAGCTCAGCCTGCTGGCCCAAAAGGGAGCCCAAAGCTGGCAGCAAAAGCCCCCTACCAAGGCTTTGCAGGCCCTGGCCTGCAACTTAAGCCCCTCCAGGACCCCCAGGACCCCCAACTCTCTTTGCAAGAGAGCACACACCTCATGGCCTCCTCCTGCTCTTCTGCACTGCAGCCAGGTGCAATTCTCACCCTCGTTTATTTTTAAAGCAGGTTCAGTTTCTTTTTTCTTTTTTCTTTTTAAAGGAGGCCCCGCCCCATTCATTGTGATGGAGCCTCCTTTAAAAACAACAACAACAAAACAACCCAAGCTGCCCACTGACTCGCAAGAAGTCCCATTGGCTTGCTGAAGAGAGCCAGGTGGCCGCATCCTTGCAAATCAGTTGCAAAGGTGAACAACGGAACCCGGCAGGAAGCAGCAATTATTGTCCTTTCAACTTCTGAGGGTGGGGTGGGGTGGGTCCGTGACAACTTCGAATGGTCTCTAAGCAACCAGTCGTAAGTTGAGGACTCCCTGTGTATCCAGAATACCCCGATATCCCTGTGTATCGGGGTCAGCGATGGCGTAGGGTCTCCTGCTTGGGCAGGGGGTTGGACTAGATGACCTACAGGGTCCCTTCCAACTCTGTTAATCTGTAATCTGTGTGTGATGGAAGGGACCATTGTCTCATTGAGGGCAGCCGTGTCCTCCAGAGAGGAAAACAGAAGAACAGAATAAGAGCGTTGGAAGGGACCTTGGAGGTCTTCCAGTCTGACCTCCCCTGCTCAGGCAGGAAACCCTATTTCATTTCAGACAAATAAAGTTGGTCCAGTCTCTTCTTCAAAACCTCCAATGTTGGAACATTTACATCTTCTGGAGGGAAGTAGTTCCACTGACTAATTCTCCTCACTGTCAGGAAATGTCTCCTTAGTTCCAGGTTGCTTCTCTCCTTGATTAGTTTCCATCCGTTGCTCCTTGTCCTGCCTTCTCAGGTGCTTTGGAGAATAGCTTGACTCCCTCTTCTTTGGGGCAACCCCTCAAATATTGGAACCAAACCAACAAACAACTAGGTTGCAAAAATGTAGGTGGCCACCAGGTGGTAGCAACTCCCTTTAAAAATAATAATAATGACTTTCCTGCCCTCTAGTGTTGGGCTAGAGCTTCGCAGCCCTGCCCTGATAATCCTCCATTTTGGCAAAAGTCTTTGAAAAGCATTATGTTGTTGTTAAAATTATTAATATCGGGGAGACCAGCTTCTGATAGTAACAAAATAGAGCTCCTTGGTTAGTTTACTAAATATATTAACTATTTAATAATATATTAAATATAATAGGATAAACTCTGGTCACTCAGAAATGGAGTCTCTTCCTCATTCGCTGGAAAGTAGGAAAATCTGCAGACAGTCCCTATCAATTTCTTATTCTATTTTCTATTTTCTCCTCAAGATCAAGGCAGCGTATCGGATGGCCCTGCCTCCTTTTAACCCTACAACATCCCTGTGAGGTAGGCTGGGCTCAGAAGATTCTCACCGCCAAATTATCCAAGACTGTTGGGTGTGTTCACACAAGATCTTGGACTGGAATACTGAATGTTTTTTTTTAAATTTTTAAAAACAAATCCATCTTTCATTTAAACAGTGTGTCGATTGGGTATCTTGTGCAAGTATTTATATTTTGTATGTATTTCTGATTAGGATGACATTCATATTACTGTTCTGATCCAAACCTGGTTCCCAGAGAGCAAACACAAGACAAAGATACCAGCACCTGTACAACCACCTTTTAATGTTTCATTTATGAATCCTGTTTCTTCACAGATAAAAGGCTGCTTCCCAATAATTAGCTCCGATAAGAAAGTTTTTGCAAGGCTGCCAAGAACAACAGATAAAGTTCCTAAACAATAAATCAAAGAGTCTCCAAACTCTTATGCCACCAGACTTGAAATTCTAGAACTAGAAAACCTTGAATTACGCCGTCTTCGGTCTGATTTAAGCATGGTATATAAAATCATACATTGCAATGTCCTACCTGTCAATGAATACTTCAGCTTCAACCATAACAACACAAGAGCACACAATAGATACAAACTCAAAGTAAACCGCACCAAACTTGATTGCAGGAAATACGACTTCAGCAATAGAGTGGTCAATGTCTGGAATACTCTACCCGACTCTGTAGTTTCTTCCCCAAACCCCAAAAACTTTAACCTTAGACTGTCTACTATTGACCTCACCCCTTTCCTAAGAGGTCTGTAGGGGGTGTGCATAAGCGCACCAACGTGCCTACCGTCCCTGTCCTATTGTTTCTCTTATTCTTCTTTTATTTTTCTTATATGTACCCATTTCATGTATTCACAACTATGTATACACTTATACTTATTATCTTGTAAACAATTGGCAAATCAAATAAATAAATAAATAAATAAAATAAATAAAATAAACTCAGATCTTCCAAATGTCCACCAGGCTTGAGTGCAAAAACTTCTTTGCTTCCTGCAAAGAACTCCGGTTTCTCAGCTGGCTTTTATCTTCTCAGGGAGGGGCCATTATCTTGCAGCCTTACTCCCGAGTTGCCCATGCTGCTGCAGCTGCTCTTTCCTTCAAGCAGCCCTGCGCGCACACGCTCTGGGCACAGGCTCCTCAGGGGCCTCTTCCTCACTGCTGCCAGCCTCCACCATCTCCACTCCCTGATGGTCCTGGCCCCATCCCTGCCTCACACGCAGGCCCCTCGTCTGAGTCCTTGCTCTCCGAGACCTCAGCCGTCCGCACCTGCTGCCGGCGAACCACAACAATTACAAACTACTCAATCTTATATATCTTACCATTATGAAAATATCATTTAACTTCTTACTTTATTTTCCATCCATTTATAAAATAAATCCCATACCCTATAACATTCCGCTTCTTCTTGTTCTTTAATTGCCAATGTTAATCTACTCATTTCTGCACATTCCAATATTTTTATAATCGCCCACCTCTTCCTCTATCGAAATCTTTTCATTTTTCCAATTTTGAGCAAATACAATTCTAGCTGTTGTTAATACATGCATGATTAAATATGTTTTTTCTTTGCTATAGTTTTTGGGTAAAATCCCCAATTAAAAATATCTCAGGCTTTAAATCTATATGTTGTTTTATCATCTTTTCCAGCCCTGTGTGTATTTTTGTCCAACATCTTTTAGCTTCTGTGCATGTCCACCACATATGGTAGTATGTTTCAGGTATCTGGTGACATTTCCAACATTTCGCTGATTTGTCTTTGAACACCTTTGCCAGTCCTTTCTGGGGTAAAATGCCATCTGTAAAACATCTTATGCAAATTTTCTTTATAAGCTGTTGACATTGTTAGTTTACAGTTTCTATCCCATAGTTTCTGCCATTTATCTAACTCTATCTATCTACTCTATCTTACAGCCAAAGATTTTCCCTCAAGCTATCATCGTCTCCTTCACTTTGTTCTTCTTCTAATTTCATGGAATATTGAATGTTCTGAGTTTGACCCAGATCTGGATTGGAAGTACAGGGAGTCCTTAACGTACGACGGTTCATTTAGCGACCAAAGTTACAACGGCGCTGAAAAAAAGTGACTCGTGACAATTTTTCACACCTACAACCGTTGCGGTCACGTGATCAAAATTTGGCCGCAT